TTAGATATATTAAATTACATATATATATATATATATATATATATATTAACGCTTTGTAAATTATAACGAAATTATCGAAAAGTCATCGAAATGTAATTCATAGTATTTATAGCATTTTTCTTAATAGTTTAATAGTTCATTGATAACATAATGATAAGATATATGAAGACAAAACAGATAATGCTAAGTCTCTAAAAGCTAATAAACGAACATAAGAAACAAAACAGAAATAGAGATATAATTGTACAATGATATATCTCTAGAGTTCTGTAGAATCTATGCGTGATTTTATTGAAATTTTCTCTCAATAATGCATTTTTAGTTGGAAATTTATTTCATAGTGCGATAAAAGGCGCATTAAAGCCTCATCCCGAAAACGTTTGTGCCTTATTGCGAAAGTGTGAGGCCCACTCTGAACCAGTTCATTTTGCCTCTTTCGGTCACCTCCTCTTTTTCCAGGATTAGGCAGGTTTTGGATCAAATGACGGTAAAAGTCTCCTGCGATTTTTCTGAGTAAAGAGATTTTTACATAATCACTGGTGATGACGCTGTATTTAAGTGGCTTGCTCGATAAACGGCGAGGTGAGGCAACTTCAAGTTATGGCGCTATCTAAATAGTGTATTACGCGACAATTTTAACGAGAAAGAAGCTTCGGGCTAGCGAAAACTTTCGACGTTTTGCTAAATTTTAATACCACCGGGCATTATCTACTTTCATCCGAGGATTTCATCCCTGTTTTCTCTATAGCTTAAATACCGTAAAAGATTTTCGATATCTTGCATTTTATTTTTATTTCTGTTTTTAAAATGCCTTAGTCATATTAATATCAATATATTAATAATTATTTACAATCTTCAAGCTTGTATATCAGATGATATGTCGAGATAAAGATTTTATGTCTTTCTTATTGCAGAAAATTCTTATCTCTCTTTTACTTTTACTTTTCTTTCTCAGCATGTATCATAATAACAAACAAATAATATGACTTGCAGTTGTAAGTTATTAGGTTATCAGATTGTTCATCAGATTGTTTATAAATGGCTATAAATCAATTCTTAAATGATCATGTCATGTGACATTTTGTACGAGAAAATCAGTTGTAATTTTCATTAATTAAATTTAATTGTATAAATATGAAAGACTTACTCTGTAAATAAAAGATACAGCTTTTAATATTATGTTATCTATCAGTAATATTATGTTATCTATCAGTAATTGTACCAATAAAATGATAATACTTTCTTAATTGTGTAGCTTTATTTATTTGCCTTGAAAGGCAAAGAGTATATTGAATCGAAAGTGTATTCGTTATGAAATGTAAAATTGCAGCAAGATGAATTTCTGCTTATTGAAATAGGCAAATTTTTATATTGAAATAATATTAATAATGTGACGGATTTTAATGTTAAAAATAATGACTCATATGTGCGTGCGAGGAGAGAAGAAAAGATAAGAATGAAGTAAACGTACAAATAAAAATGAGATTTAATTGAGTAAATATAAAAGTCTTTATCGCTGTCAAGGTTCTTTTAGAAAGAATTTAGTGGAGCTCATAAAAAGACTGTGGAATAAAGATTTAGGCAGATAACAAGATAAAACCTCATCGGAATATTACTTTAAGTATTGTTAAGAAAATTATTCAAGATAATAAAATTTTCAATGGATTCAAAGAGAGAAGAGAGAGAGAGAGAGAGAGAGAGAGAGAGAGAGAGAGAGAGAGAAGAAG